GGGGGAAAGGTCATTCAGTGAACTGGTAGTTTAGCAACCTTCCTGCTTCCCAGCTAACCGCGGCAGCTATCTCAGGGACAGTCTTTGGCATTTGAAATTGGGACCAACCGGGCCCTTCCAGGTCATTAGGGACCCAAAAAAAACGAACAGGGTACCCGGTAGCGCTACCCGGTAGTCCTGCTCCCCGGCTATTTGGCCCTGACGATGGGTTGTTTAATATGGCCGACCGGTCCAGGACCAGGTGATCTGTTCCTGGATCAGTGCAGCCCACCTCTAGAGCACTAGGTAGCCTGGTCTAAACCCCAGGGCAGAGGTCCCACTAGCAAAGAGGATAGGAATATGCTCCTGAATCTGGACGTGTTTTATGCAGAAGTGCAGAAAAGCAGTTCGATGATCGATCTCGATTTCCTGCACCTCTCCACAAACTCGTCCAGATTCAGGCATTCAATCTAATACTCTTTGCTAGTGCGACCTCGCCCCAGGCCTATTCTTTTTTATTTATCATTCATTCCAGAATCCCGACTTCATTCCTGATTCAGCTGCTGCATCAACCCGGGCCAAGCTCCCACTTCCACGGATTAGGAGATTTCCGCTGTTGATCTTCTTTATCGACGGTCCATATCTCTCTTCATTCGTGCAAGTTGGACCTTGCCCCCGGTCCGCTAAGTGGTTTCGTTGCCCGTCCCACTCCTTAGTCCGAGGGTGCCTGTTCCACCTGGGAGCCGGACGCTCAACCAGCACGCAGGTGGTTTAGTTGGGCGTCCGACTCCTTAACGCGAGTCAACAACTGGTCCAGATTCCGAGTTACAAGAAGAGAATTGCATCCGCGAGCCGATCCGCTCCCAAGTGGTTTGGTTGGGCGTCCGCCGGTTGAGCGTCCGGCTCCCAAGTGGAAGGGCGCCGCGTGTTCGATTCTTGGGAGCGGATCGGCTCGCGGATGCAATTTTCTCATCTTGTAACTCGGAAATGATTTGTCGTTAATAAAAGTTCAAGCTTTCCTAAAAAAAAAAAAAAAAAAAAAATCTGGACCACTGCCCCCCGC